TATGTGGGTAACGAAAATGGAAAGAAAAAATGTAATATGACATCAAATGTCAATAATTATTTGATAAAAAGTTGAAGACATTTTAACAACTTTCAATATTTTAGACATCTTGCATTTTATCTGAATCTTTCGCCGCACGTGTAATATTTTACTTGTGTAAACAACCCACACATCCAGCCGGTAGTGGCTGATCCTTACAATCAGCTACGTGATGTTAGCAGTGACTATAGACGTGAGCGGCCGAAACTAAAAGAGGCAATTGCATTTCTCGATCCTTTATATATTAAACTTTGTGTTTACAAAATACATTTTATTTGAAATTCAATGTCTGAAATACATTTTTGGGAGGTTTGGAGAAGGATGAATCCCGTGTTCATCGTATTTTTCCTGATGGTTTCGTTCATTTTTAGCTGATTTGTGTCGTGTTTTGACGGTTTTTGTGTCGTGTTTTAATTTCACCTTCTTTCATTGGTACATTGCTACAGGTAACCCGCTTCTATTGCGGTTCTGAAGCGCCTGGGGAGTGACCAAGTGCTCGCAATATTGTCGCAGAGGAAAGCGTGGCGAGGAGGATGGCTCGTGCTACACAATGTTAAACAACATCGCAACAACCGCAACATCATACATCAGTGCGCAGTCTGGCTTGCGCATATGTTTGATTATTTAAGGTTGCGATGGGTATTTCAGAATGTTCAGAACCGCCATGTCCCCTTGTTGTCCTTTGCGCGCCTATGACGGAGGCAGCTTCCGAAAGAAAAGAACAAAAACAGAACAACAACAAGCCGTTCGGATAGGACGACCCGTTCGGAGACGACCGAATAGGTGTTACGGGTTTCTGGGTTATGGCCTTCCTGATCACTTGATATACCTAATTTTTACTTTGAAATTGCAAGGTTAGGTGTACGCAGGGAGCCCTCATTTGGAGTTTGAGCTATCGCGCTCTATTCACGAGAAAATCGACGCAATTCCCAGCGATTTGCTCCAAAGGATAACAAGAAATGTCTACAGAAGAGCTAAAATGCATTCGAGCCACTTGGCACCACTTTCTTGTGTAGGATAAGTCACGCGCGTCGCTGACTCTCATCTCAACTTTCGGTTGAGTCAGCGCTTTGCGGGCAGACCGTGCAGACCGACGATTCGCGGGTTTTGGCGACCGATTAGTTGCCAGCCCTCTTTACCTCACTCCACGACTATCAGTGTCCTCTGTTCAAGCACATAGATCAGGCATGTTAAGGTGACGGTACCAAGCTTACTATGGCTGTGGGCACTGCGTCATGAGAAGTTGGCGCGAGATTTAAAAGTAAGGGTTGTACAAATTCCTCCGGAGTGGCGGAATGTCATTGGATACGCCCAGGTCCATCACATTGTTTGGAAGTAGATACTTGATAGTCATAGTCACAAATTGAGCTATATTAACTCGTATTGTCTCTTTAAATCAAATAAATGATACATTAAAATGAAATAATACAGCAGTTAGATTTCAAATTCTCAATTGAGAGTAAAATTTGAAACAAAACTGAATAAAAAGTGTATTCATTTTGTAATTCTGTTTACTTCAAAGTGATATGAAAGCAACTTAACTTTCTACGTTCAGGTTAGATGTTTCAACAGATAAATATTTTTGTCTGTAAAAAGCGCAGATCGCCCGTAAGCGAGAACTGTTAACTTACAGACACTTGTTAATTTATTTCCCATTATTGCTAAATTCGATAAATAACTGAAAGATTTAATATTATAACACAAAAGACATAAGAATTCGCCATTGTTACGTATTCCTGACTCTTGATAAAAATGTTTACACAAGGCGAAATTTAAAAAGAAATTCAACATGAAATAGTAATAAATAGTAAAGAATAGAAACATAATAAAATTTTCGGTTATTTGATAGAACAAGTTTGAACACGTATTTTCGTACTAAGCGATTATTCGCCGCTTCGCCTTGCGCGTGTACACGTCTTTCTAGATTCGGAGGGGAAAGGGGAGCGAAGAAAAATAGTTCAATATATTAAAGAGAGAGGCTGCCGGAAAATGGCCGAGATCGTTAGGACTGTGATGCCGTAGCGGTCTCGGACCAGAACACAGCACATTCGAGTCCCGCCACCGGCAGGGGTGCATTAGTTCATGTCTATATGTGTGTGTGTCGGCCTTTCATACCTCATCGTCGATCATCATCTCATCGGCCCAACCCCCAGGGCTAACAATCTTAGGGGATAAAAGTCGGAATTCAGCTAAAATGCCGATTATCCCGTAGAAAGGTACTTGCAGGATGCACGCGTGGTCCAAGTTGACTAATAAGCAAAAGAAGACACAGAACCGCTAGTGGGCGATATCGCTAAGACCGTAGTGTCTCGGACCAGACGATCGCGGGTTCGAGTCCCGCTTCCGGCATGGTTGTGTTGTGTGGTTCTCTGTATCTTTGTGATTGTCCGTTTCATTGCCATCATCATTTCCATATCACATCCCCTAGGGCTAACAACCCTGGTGTGTAAAAATGAACACAGCAGAAGTGCTGCTCCCCCCTTATAAATTTACGTGCATATCCCGAGGAAAAAAATATGACTAGGCTTTGATGGGTTTAACTGCACCTTTGTGTGGTCCGTAGAATGCCAATTCGCGATCAAAGAAAGAGAACGCCTTTATGAGCAGCTCCACAGCTCCAAGAATCAGCCGCCAATGCAACTAACACAGCTTTTAGAGTATAGTCGAATGTAACTATTTGGAGTGATTCTAAAACAGTTAAGCATTGCTGGTCGTAAAATCAGGTTCGCCCGACAGATAGCCTATGTCAACACTTGATACCAGTAGGTACAATGGCTGTCTACCTTAATGAAATTCTCGAATGGCCTTAAATTATATTTTCATACCGTTACATAAATATTTCAAAACATTAATTGTGTTGTTTCATTATTTTTACGTAGGTGTTGTTACGTAGGTTACGTTGTAAAGTGATGAAGAGTTACGTAAAATTTCGATAATGAAAGACTCTGGCTTAGGTGACTCAGGCCATCAAATAGTGTCACTGCCGTGCCTGTAAGTGGGGGGTCCCAGGGTTTGAGTCCCGAAGTGGCAGGATTTTTTGACAATCGTTAGATAGATAGGTCGAATTCAGTCGCTGACTTGGAGGAGAATTCTAGCGGCCCACTGCTCTGATCGGTTATTTTTCCGTGGCTTCTCCGATCTATGCGAATGCTGGAACAGTACCCTAACAAACGGGCCACGGACCGTGTGCGATCTTTCATTCCTCTGCCCTTCGTCACAACAACCTACACGCACTTACACTCCATTTATTATGCATTACACTACATGTCGGGAGCCTAGAGCTTGTCTCGGTGGGAGCAGAGCCCCGCTGGTGGGAGATAATTCCTTAGGATAACGCCACTAGCCAACAGGTGGTCGGCACCGGATGTGGAATACCAACAGGGAACTTCCGCCTCCTCCTGATGAAAAAAATACATAGCACTTTCGGGAAAACTGATCTTAGCTGTTGATGCGCCCAGTTTCACTAATCAAATCAATCAATTGAAAGCTACTGACAATGAGGAAATTAATTATTTGAATAGCTTTGAATGTGGTGACTCGCTTCTTAAGACTACTTTCTCCTCCCTCTGACCATATTTCCTTTTGAACGGAGCGTCCTCGTAGATGACAGATGCAGTAAATCTCCATTGAAACCTCGTCGTTGGCTGCTGAGCCGGTGCTTCGCGAGGACGTTGTGTGCGCTGTCTGGTGGAGAGGCTCTGATTTATTTGGCGCGCGACAGAATCTCGTTTGTTTGTTTGTGTCCCTCTGGGACATACGAGCACTTCGAAACGATTGGAAGTTTGATATTTAGGCCATAACCATGATGAAGCACGTGTTCAATATGTCATAGAGATGTCGAGGAAATTAATGGGGAATGAAAAGGCGAATAAATGGCAGAACGTTAGTAGTAGACAGTAGCAGAGTACATCATTTTAGGATCTGTATTCATAAGAATATGATTAAGCGATAAATAAAATTCTAGGATCTTTAAATATACCCGTCGGTAGATCCTTAGAGTTCACCTGAGTTGCCAACTGTATTCAATGTATTAATACTAATATATTAACGTTGATTTAGTTCTCCGACTGCAAGTGTAACCCTTTACCTATGAGTAGTACCGCGATTATAAGTAGCAACCTCACGGGATTTTACGACTTATTTAAAGAACCACTGCTAAGATGGTTGTATCACAACCTCTCGCTGGTTGAGGCTGCCTCCCTCCAGGCGGGGTCACCATGGCACCAACCATGGTTCCCCCAATCTGACATCGAAGTGGCCCATGGGTCCGTACTTTTGTTACGCACTTAATAATTGGGGACTTGCAGGCACAGCCCCTGAGCCCCTACATGACAGCCGGTAATTATCCAGTGCATGAACCGTGGTAGTCCTTAGATAGCTGTCTTGCGAAGATCCATACCGACCTAGATGTCTCAGGGCGTCAACGGATGTCACTGCAGTGCCTGTGACCGGCATATCCTAGGGTTCGAGTACCGACGAGTAAGTGGCTCGGCACTAGATAGCTAGGTCGAATTCAAAGTGTCTGGAGGAGACTTCTCGCGACCGGCTGCTCTGCTCGGTTCTTTTCCGTGGTTTCTTCCATCAACACCACGCCGGAGTAGTACCCTAACAAACGGGCCGCGGACCGCACTCTATCCTTTCTCTTCCTTATCCTGTCCTCACCCCTTACTTACACACACGTACACTTACATGCACTTCACTACCACATGTCGTCAGAACAGTCGGGAATTTAGAGCTTCTTACAGTTGAGCCGGTGCCCCGCTGGTGGTAGATACCTGTTTGGGAAAAACACCGCTAACCGACGTACATGTCGACTCCGGATCTCACCGTTCAGCTGTGGGAGATCACAGCCCCTTTACGATAAAAAAGCACGCACTATACTTAAGGGACTAATTAACTTAATAGTTTAGGCGTCCGAAACCCATAATAATTAATCAACGTAAGCAGTATAAAGAACGCCAATGCTGCCAACCCCACGCTGTCACCCGCGGGAAATTTGTCGGCCAGAGCACGAACGGGCTGTAGGGTTCACTTACGGGGAGCCCTGCACACTGTATAAGAGGTACTTTAAGAAGGGTCCATTTTGACCGGTCGGAAACAAATGAACGTCGATAGGGCCATGGTATTGCAAGAAACAGTGATGAATCCATTTATAAATGAGCTAACTCTAAACGAACACACAGATCAATTGAGTGTAAAGACATAACCTGCAGTTTTGTTGTCAGCAGTCGCAAAGCAGTAGCTGTCAAAGCGCTCCCTTCTTAAAGTAATCTCTGAACAGTACCCGCGGCTTGATCACATTACTTGGACAACCCTACACCAAACTTGGACCAGCCACATTCTTACAACCATACTTTCCTCTTTCTAGAAAAAATGAAAGAAAATATTTGGAGTTGTTGTTCAGATAATGTCTTTTAACCCTAGATACGCAATGTGTGCCACAACAAAATCCATCCGTGGCATACAGGTGCAAAAGGCCCGGATCGAGCAAAGAACGCCCGCTTAGAGCAGTATTTGCTGAGGCAAATGCGGGTCTTAGCATAATGCCTTCGAGGCGGTGTCCACAAAGAGGTAGCTCGTGTTCATGAAGCAGTCCGTTCCGAAATTGAGAAAATTAAGGCTAAAGGTAATAAGAGGGGCCGGAAAGATGTCAAGGTACTGGGCCACAAGATTTCCGGAATGTCAAACATTTTGGCAACCAAGGAAAGCCGAATTTCGACTTTGGAAACTCGGATAACAACTGTAGAGGTCCAGATGTTTTCGACAGTTGAACATCTACGAAGCGAAGATTTTTCCTAAGTACTTTCTGTGAGTGATCATAATCAGAAAAATCAATAAGAAGAGTTCGCACGATTAGAACAACGATTTAAAAACCAGTGGCAACTAGCATGACGATGCCTAGTGTTAAGATGTTCCGGAATTTTTCGAAATATTTACGCTTCGGAAGAACGAAGCAAGGAAGACCCATGCCATTTCTTAATGCATGGGTTCACGGCAACCAGGAACCTGAAACAGCCGACATTCGGACGTTGGAGGAAGAAGGAAATTCACCACAGAACTTTTTATCTGTCTTGAAGAATCTCGTAACACTCCGATGCTATCCTTGGCCCTTTGAGATCCACAGCGACGTCTTTCTAACTGTAAGCGCGACTTTAGGGATCGGGCACTCTCTCCGCACCTATCTTCCTCAATCGCGGTAGACACACACTATTCAAGTGCTAGCTCTTTTGAAGCGAGGGTTATCGTGGCAGCGGCCACTGCATCTCTCTGACAGCAAATTCGTATTTTTGTTCAGTCTATATTTTTTATTCTCAACCTTATTTTTGTGATTTTATACTAATTATTCTCTTTCTAAATGGTAAAATAGTTACTAGTTTTCTGGTTTGATAAAGATACTCTTCTTATTAAAAAATACTGGCACATGTATCTCAGATATACGATAGAATTTACCTACCTTTGTTTCATTATTGCCCAGGATGGCATCACCGAAACATTGTTTTACTTGAATAGCTCGAATGCTATAGGAACAAATCAACAAATGATATTTGATAGTATTGTTGAGAGTTTTGTACCTGCAGCTATTGCTTATTCTTTTGGGTGTCGCATAGGAAATTCAAAGAATGAAAAGTAGGGTAATTTGATTTTCAAACTTTATTATTTAGACTATTTTCCATTTATACATTATTGCAAAATGTTTCTAATAGTGTAAAACAAATGTGTAGTAAGTTCCTAGAATCTAACAATAAATCAACATAACCTTTTTTTAAAACATTTAACTGACTAAATAGCTTGATACAAATTATTTTGTAATTTTTTGTAACTAAAAAGATAAAATGAGGTTTATTTCCAATTGTTTATAACATTCTCCAAAAATAATAATGTAGAAATTGGAATTATTATGGAATTTTATCATGTATATGACAGATACACGCAATAGCGCAAGTTTCGTATTCTAGAAATAGTGTTAACACACGGTGAATCCCTTAAAATAATTCAGTATGCTGACTGCCGATGAAACACCACCCATGAGATACTAAAATATGATTTAGCAGAGATATTGAGGGACAAACTGCAGTCTGGCAACTCAAGTGATTTCTTTTATTTTATTTACTGTATCATTCATCAGCAATACCTTTCTAGTACATTCGTTATACGAATGTACGTCATTTCGGATATTGTGATCAAAACTGTTAATTTCATTAGAAAGTATGCTCTTAACTGCAGGCAGTTTATCGAGTTTTGGAGATCATATATTCACACAATGTTGATGTTGCTTACTATAGTAATGTATGTTGGTTTAGTCGCGATAAAGTTCTCTACAGATTATTTCACCTTAGAGAATTTATAGGAGAGATTAGACTCAGTAAACAAAAATCCATGCTAGAAATATCTGATCCAGAATGCATGTAGGATCTTGTCATTCCGGTGGATGTTTTTCAACATCTCAGCATTTCAAGTATAAGATCACGAGGCAAAAATGGTTTAATTTATACCATGAAGGATGTTGTGAATAATTTCGAAGTCGACAGTGAAACTGCCGCTGTGTTTATAAAGTTTATCGAAACATGAAGTCAGTCAATACTGGATATACCACAGAAAAAAACTAAACCATCTGTCAAGACATTTTGCAGGAGTTTGAATATCGATTTAAAGATTTTGACGTGCTTCTATCTAATTTAATTAGTTTTGTTTGGGTTTGCTGTGCAAAATGTGCCTATCAAAATTCAGCTACAGATCATTGATCTGATAATCTACATGACTACTAAAAATAGAATAATGAAGATCGCATTTCATTTTATAGAGCGATAACCTCAGAAGAATACATAGAGCTTAGCAGTTTTGCTGCCCAAACTATTTCTATGTCTAGCATTACCTACATTTATGAACAGCTTCTCTCTAGTGAAACTTACAATGCCAAGGCTAAGGCGCAGCTATCAGGTGAAAGTGTGTGCTGTGTGTGCTCACTCTTGCTGCTACAAAACACAACACACCAGATATAAGATATATTCATCATGTAGAAGAGTAACAAATACACATAAGAGTATATTTATTTTTATTGTAAATCTCCAATATTGTTCTCTTCAATTTCGGTATTGCAGGACTAGTGATTCCCCACGTATTGTTCTGCCAAGGGCCAATTTGTGAAAGACCTGCGGAGCACGCCGAGCGCTGCGGTCCACGCAAGTGCACTGGTGAGATAAATTTTGTGACATTTCATCTTCCTGCAGTAATGAGGAATGGCATTTTTTAGTTGTAACGCATATATACCTATAGCATGTGTCGCGCATGTGCACAAACGCATTTTCAGTTAGTCCCTACCTCACTACAAAACGACCGTCTCACAAAAGACAATTAAATATGTATTGTAAATCGAAACTCACGTATTGAACGTCTTCCTTGATTTCGCTTTTTTTTACTGGGTTACCCGTTTAGACCCTTTTTTTAAGAAAAACAATGTTTGAATAACTAAAAAAGTGTATTTTTTAAAGAAAAATTGATAATAGAAAGCTTTTCTTATTTAATAAATTACCCTGAAGGACACATTTGTTGCGCCCAATAAGATATCCGTTCTCTTTGGGAACTCATCATAGTCCGCGGTACATAAAGCGCAAGCCATTTACTCCTTTACGAGTGATCTCACGAAAAACTTCAAATTTGAAACAGATATCCATTCTCTATTGAATTCTACTTCGCAGTGTCATTAAGTCATTGCATTTCTATGAGTTACAAAATTAGATAAATATATTTATAGTATTTCTTTTATTGTTAAAAAATCATAGCTTGTAATATTAACAGTATTTAATTTTAAATGTTTGAAATTGTTAAAAGAACGATATGAAAGGAAATTTTAAAACAGATTGTGACAAACATGAAGTTGTACACCGATCTAAAATAAAATAAATAAATAAATGAAAATAAATAAAAAATAAACAAATTAAAATAAATAAAAAATAAAAATAAATAATTAAAATCAATAAAAATGAAATCAATAAATAAAGCGCAAGACTAGCCGTACTCCTGCAGTTTTCGAACGGTTGAAGTTATGGCAATGCAATTTTCACGGAATTGCTTGAGGGGTTGGGGCTGATTGGTACATGTGTTCATTTCTATTTTATCACATGTTTTTTAAGAGATGTTGAGGTTACTTTGTTGTTATTAAATTGAACTATACACAGTTTGTAGTCCATCATGTGGAGCGTAAAATGACTAATCCAAAGATTTACATATTCCCGTGTGTTAGATAAGCATTTTTGAGTAATTTTGATTGTTAGTTTTGATTGTAAGTCCCCGCGCGCCGTTTGGCGTGAAGGCGTGGCCTCCTCACTCTGCGTCCCTCCGCGCGTGGAGCTGAGAACTTCCTTCTCAACTCACTCGCTGACGCTCGGGATCACGCAGGTCACGTGACTAGGTCTCAGGGAAAAGAATCACCTCCTGTCCGACTGATTTTGCTACGATTCGAAATAATTATAGCACTGGCGAAAAACACCCTCACCACTGATTGACTAGCTGCGGTTAAAGAAAACGATTAGCGTATTTTTATTTTAGTGATTGGTTATTGTTATTATCTTTTTGCATTTTTCTGTCTCTTAAGTTATTATTATATGTTCTTACACATTAAATCTGTTTGCTCAAAATGTGCAATATTATTTATACAATCTTAATTATTTATTTTTGGGTTTTGTTTCCAAATTCCATTAATATCCTGTAACATGAAAGCCCATTAAATGGAGCTGAAGTAACAATTTTATTTCAATTCATACTTATTGTCAATTCTTTAATTCCTTCAATTAACGAAAAACAAAAAATCTGAAAATACGAAAGGATGGAAAGCAGAGTCCATAAAAAATGCAAGTTTTGTGAAGATTTGAAATAAGGTTCGTATCTCCGAATACTCTAATCAGCTTCCCTTCCCCGATCTCATGTTAGCAGGGAGAACACTGAGTGACCTTGTACGGCGGACTGTTAAATTCAAAATATCCGTTTGACATGAGTCGGAAACAATCAAAATTACTCAAAAAATGCTTATCTAACATACGAAAATATGTAAATCTTTGGATTAGTCTTTTTACGCTCCACATGATGGACTACAAAAACACATGAACTACTGTGTATAGTTCAAATTAAAAAACAATAACAAAGTTACTTCACCATATCTTAAAAAACAAGTGATAAAATAGAAATGAATACATGTATCAATCAGCCCCAACCCCTCAAGCAATTCCGTGAAAATTGCATTGCCATAACTTCAACCGTGCGAAAACTGCAGGAGGCGCTTAAGTTACGTGACTCATCCTGTATAATGACTCATGTGGTCCACAGTCATGAAGCCTGGGCCCCTCCACTCGTCCGGGGGTCGAACCTGCCGCCGCCGTCGGAGAACCTAATCAGGCGGGAGGGGAGAGACACCCCTTCATGACGCACCGGTGACGCGCGGAGGGGAAGACGGCAGCGGGACGAGGGGCAGAAGGAGTTCGGGGAAGGTAAGCCGTTGGGCAGTGCTCGCGCGCGTAAGCAACTAGCGGTAAGAGGAAATTGCCGTGCTCTGGTCTGCGGTGTTGGAGCTCCGTGCCGCACGCTGAGGCCACGTCGCGAGAATGGCGTTGGTGCGTGTTGTGCGTCGCCAGCCCACCCGCCGTCGCAGACTCCGCACCATTGGGGGACCAAGGCCACCATTAGAGGTCGGTACCCTCCTCCTTTCCCTTCTTGCCGTATTTTTGTTTGTATTGTTTTTAGGAAGTATTTTATAAATGTAATTTCGTATTATGTTTTATATTATGTTTTATATTGTGTTTTATATTGTTTTATATTGTGTTTTATACTTTATTTTCATAATATGTATAATATCCTTCTTAACATACGTATTTATTTTATATTCGTACTGTTTTCATTACATTTTATATTTGGACGTTTAATACTTCGTATTATTCCGGTCTCTATGGATTACAAAAAAAAAACAATACAGAAACAAACAAGTGGAATGCAACTGTAAGGAAATGTGCGTACTTTGTGAAGTAATTTGAGATAAATATAATTAAGAAGTTATAATTTCTGTACTAATGAACATCACTACTGTTCCGTACACAGGAAAGGTGTGCATACATTTAGACGGAATCAGTATTAGGTTTCCGCTTCGTGAATTATCTTCAATATCAGTATAATACATAGGTTCAGCTGAAGCGAAATTTTGAAATGAGAGAATGTGTATAAACGATATATTCGATTTATCACTGATGATATGCTCTGTGAAATAATTCGAGGCAGTTTTGCGATTAAGTCGCACGCCAGTGCCGCTCCGCAATCCCGGAAATACCACCGAGTGTTGACGCCGTCGGGTCGCAGAATAAGCTGCGAAATAATGGCAGCATATTTCTATTTACGCTACTTGTAACTAATTATATTCATAGAGTAATATTTAGCTACGTATTACAGTAATTTTCAGCAAGCTCGCGTTAAAATATTTTTTGTTGATATTGTAAGGCTGTGTACAGGCGTTTCTTAATATCCGCACACATTAGGTACCCACATAGGTAACATGAATACCCTCGTGTAGAATATTGATTTTCTCGACGGCGAGTTTATAATAACGCTGACCACACGTTTTAATTGCATGCTGCAGCAAACATAAACTTTACGTCTGACTGTTCTGCAGGGGGGCGAAAGTGCAAGTAATTGAGGATGAGGGTGACCATACTTCCATTATGGAAAAAAGAGGACATTTCATATAAACTGTTTTAATATAATTTATGTTTCTTAAAGAAACATTGGGGACAACGCTGCACGTAGATTAAACGACTGGGCGTCTAATCTCTCCCTTTATTTTACCTTTCGAAGTCTCCTAAAATCTGTTTTTTGGCAAAAAATGTGCCTTCTTGCACAATATTGCCATAAAAGTAAAATATAGGCAATTCCAGGATGAGTAATGTTTGGCTTTATTTCGACATGAATCTGAATAAAACATACCAAGGAGCAAAACTCCCTGACAATATGTTACGGGAAATCATGAGATTATTATGGGTTTTGTGAAATAGAATGCAATGGGGTTATTTTTTTATATTGATGTAAATGATAATGAAAATATAACGTTTCATGCTAGAAACATATAATGTACTATTATCAAAAATTAGAGCAGAAAGGAATCATAATTGTTTAAGAATGAGATTTTCAGGTTTGATATCTTATTCAATTAAATGTAATTAATAAAAATAGTTAATTACTTTCATGTAACAAAAACGATTCAATATTACAATTTTGTGTTCAGCATCACTCTACATTTGTGATCATATCGCAGCAAAGTAAATTACATTATCATCCCTATAAGGAAATACGTGGTATTCAAATCAAGTTTAACTAATTCGTTATAGGATCATATTTCACATTGTCATTTATCGACAACAAAACATTTCCAATGTAATTGTAAATGCAAATTTACTTCAACTATAGTCTATAACAGTCCGCCACCTTTTTCCCTAACTGCTCTTACAATTTATGCGCTTCATTTCGAATTGCACATTGGTGGTTCACACTCCTAGCATGAGTCTCATCCCCACCCTTCCGCACTGCCCGCATTTGCACTCGAATAGCTCTCGTACGGCTTCCGAGGTCAGTAAAAGCGCAAAATGCTGTGCAGACCTACGTTTCGGGGACGTTATGCTCAACGCGCCGGGTTACAGTGCTTACATCCATAACGAAAAGCAACCTTTTAGAACGCACATCAACGCTGTCAGTGTCAATGTTGCGCTGGTCGAATCAGTTGCGAGAGAGGAACCGCGTGAAGTGGCGGAAATGGCGAAGTTTATAACAGACGAGTATTGGGATACGTTCTTGATGTGGGAGAATGCAGCGGCGATGCCACTGTAGCTGTGCGTGTTTACACGGAGCCATATCCCTCTCCCTGGCATCCGACGTGAAATGTTTTGCGGCGTCTCGATGTTCGACTGCGTTCTACGGGCATAGAGATAGGAGTGCAGAGCCTATTAACCCTGTGCTGCGGAAAACGTCCTTTCGCAACCAAGTGCTGACGTCGAAACGCCGCTCCGTCGTTGTGGAGCTACCAAAGAGGCAGTTCTGTAAGCAGCTGAGGAAGAACCTACGATCAGTGCGCAAGACCTCGCCGCAGAAGTACAGGTGGCCGCGCCCGCCTGACTGCTGAAAATTGGGACTATGCAACGAACATAGCGACGCGTGCTTTGTTATGCTGTCATAATCGCGGGGAACATTTTGAGTGTGTATTCTAGAAATAGTTTTTGAGGCAGCAGTAAAGGTGATGGTGGTAAACTCTGAGTTGGGTTATTTCATGCCTATCAAACTTCCTTCTCGATGCGCTCGACTCTGCCACGAAGTTCGTGCTTATCCCCCGTGCAGCGCCGTCGTTCTCCGGTACAGCAGTTGTCCGATATTTCGATACTGCTTGCCTCAAAACCAATTATGCTTGTAATTGCGTATTGCGTAATTGTTTTGAAACAGCAGACGTCGCACTAGTTCGAGAATATTGTTTTTCCGCTAACCACACGCCAGTTCGCGCGGTATATCGTGAGGTACGAAATTTCCAATTTTGTGTTACTTGGAAACCAGCGTGTCGATATGAGTGATATTGGAGAGCCATCATGTTTATTGGCTGACTGATTGCTGTCGTACTCTCCACGTGCTGGTATTATGGTTCGCGTGTGTATTATGAAACTTTTCTGTAGACGGAATAGCCTGTCCGGGTGGCCGAGATCGCTAAGGCAGTAGTGTCGTAGCGATCTCAGACCGAAGGATCGCGAGTTCTAGACCTGCCTCGGGCATAGTGGTATTGTGTTCGTTCTTTCACCTCCTATCATAATCATCATCATATCGTGTCATCCTCATGGTTACCATACCGTTACACGCAATAGTGGTCGCTAATGACCTAGTAGTTGATGCGACCTTAAATAACAAAAAAATAGCCATGTTTTTTTAAAACTAGTTCAGTATTCGGATACTTGGTGCCCGGGGTGAGCCGCGTCTCTGTGGATCGAGCTGACGTTTCGTGATCGTATTGTGACCTTCAGAGCTATGCTGCTAAGATAACGGCTTGTTTAAAATGTCTTTAACAACGTTTTGGGTCACATTGTCGTTTTGGATCCATCTTGAGAAATGTTAAACAAGTTTCAATTAAAATTTTAAATAATAATTTTTAAATTTTTTATAAATTGTAATAAATTGACGAAATTTTCAAAAAATGAAGAAAAGTATGACTCTAAGCAATATGACTTATATTTTCGTAATGAAATGTGAATAAAATAAGGTTTTATAATATCAAATTGTGTTAATGATGTGATGACGTGTGAGTGTGCTATGTGATAACTACGTATATGTACTGACTGTGGTAAGATATAGAGCAAAAATATATAAAAAACACTGCTTATCCAAAGAAAGATAGAGAAAAAGTCTATTGTTGCCCCATCCGATTGAAATCCGTCTGTTGAGCGTATTATAAACGAGACTCGATTAGGAAGGTGCACGTGTGTTGGAAGGGAGGGAGGGAAGCGGGCCGCGTGTCCGCCTACTGCAGCATGCCGGTGTCGCGCAGCGCCTGCAGGAAGGGCGAGGGGTCGTCCTTCTGCGGGCAGTACTCGGTGAGGTGCAGCAGCAGCGCCCTCTCGCGCTCGTCCACCTTGCACTCGGTCTTGTGCGCCGCCACGAAGCGCACGAAGGGCGGCGAGCGGAAGACGAGCGGGCGCAGGCCGGCGCGCGGCGGCGGCAGCAGCGTCTGGCGCATGCGCACCTCCAGCCGGTTGATGTGCTCCAGCTGCTTGGCCGCCACCTGCGCCGCAACCGCGCCAGCGCGCCCGCTCAACCACGCGCACAAATGCTCCGCCAATTCGCTACATTAAAGCAACCTTTGAAAGCCGTTCAACATGCATTCTACTTTTAAAACGATTGATTGATTCATGTTTTGGGGCATAAATTGCTAAGTGTAGAACATGGTTAATTGCGGGAGAAGGCGACTGTGTTCCTGGCTAGATGGCGAGATCCAGCGCCAACTTACAGGTCGGCTAGCAGGTTCCCCCCTCAAGAAGACATTTCACACCAGCGGGACAAGCTCAAAGCTCCCGACTGCTCTCCCGAAATGTGTTGTAGAGTAGTGCTGGTGAGTGTAACTTTCTAAGTATGGAGGCCAGAATAAGACAAAGAGGAGGAAGGAAATATCGCGCGCGATCTGTGGTTAGTTTCTTTGAGTACTACTCCGGAATTTATAAAGCAATTCGATCTAATAGATACTCGCTATTTTAGCTTCGCTAACACTGACCTCACACTCGTATGTTTATGGAAGATGGAGTGTCGACGGCTTCAAGGGGATCGATAAGAACTCTCACAAATAAATATTGAATAAACTACTGCAGGGAACGTTCATTCTATTAATTCCAAAAATTATTGAAATACGAAGCTTACTCTATAAAATCTTTTAATAATCGCAGGTAATAGAGGTCATACTTTTCATTTAAAGAAAAAAATATGAAATTGAAAACTACGAAGCTTAATTTTGTTTCTAAACGGCAGCTGTTAGTTTTATAACTATACGATAAGTATTAATGTCGTTGGCTCGCTAAGAGCGGAGCATTTCCGGACCAGGAAGAGGGAACACAGGAACAGGAAGAAAGGGGTGAACGAAGGGGCTGACCTTGGCCTTCATGAAGCCGATGCGCTCGTCCAGCGCCACGTCGTCCTCGACCGCCGTGAGGATGGCGTGCGGGATGCGGTCCAGGTCGTCCATGAAGGTCTCGTAGGCGCGCTCGATCTCGCGCATCATCTCCACCACCGACAGGTTGTTGTCGTTGGCCCCCACCACGATCTCGAACGCGTCCTCCACGCACACGAAGATGCGCAGGATGTTGTCGTTGGTCACCAGGTCCTGCGAGCACAGAGGCCTTTGGCTAGCGTCATGCACCAAAGTCACTTGTCTCTTAATTGCAGGGCATGTTCTGTGCACGGGAGGTGGCGGTGTCGCCCCTCACCAATGTGTTATGAGATCCGCTGCCCACCTACACGTCGGCTGGTGGGTTTTTCCTCAACCAGGTATCTCTCTCGAGCGGAGCATCGCCCAAGCCGGAACAAGCTCTAAGCTCCCGACATGTGTGGTAAAGCAGTGCATTTAAGTGTGCGTGTGTGTGTGTGTAAGTAAGGGGTGAACATAGGACGAGCAAGAATAAGGAAAGAAAGCGGTCTGATGCCCGTTTGTTAGATATTAGCCTGATGTTAATTGGAGAGACCATGAAAATCTACCGCTGAGACCAGCCCTCCTTGATTGAGAGTTATCAATAACACCTTACAATATCGATAATAAAGTCATCAATAACAAAACATAGATGTTCAAAAGCAAAACATTAGCCCAGGTAATAAACCATGGACCAAAAGCCATCGATGTTTTCAAACATAGATATTTTGAAGAAGGTTTAGTAATATCTAACATTAAATATTCATGACAGGGACAGAATGTATTTGACAGAGGCCGTGTTTGTTAATTAAAAATTAGGATTTTTTTTTTAAAACAGGGACATCTCAAGGGAAGAAGAGGGGAGAGTCCCTACGCCACCTATGCATGCGGAGGCCGGCTCAAGGCATACGATAAGCATACGAGGAAGACGTGTGTCTAGGAAATCCAGGTCATCTTTCGGTCTCATCTGTTCGAAGGTGGGACAAACCGCTTTCTCTTTGTTCGAAAACAAGATGTGACAGTGGTACAATAAGTTATAATTTCATAGTTTCCCTTTTAGAAAATCTAACTATGCGTATTACTAGTTTACAAACAAAAAAGTAAAAACGTGCATGCACGTGAAAACTAGCACAAAATATTGAAGTTATTTATTAATTTATTTGTGCATTTATTTAACGTCGAAAACCAGTTACAACTGAGTGACCCACTTTGGGAAGAAGTGCATTATTGGCACATTTTCTAAGTTTTCTAGAGGAAAAGCTCGAAAAGACGATTCCACAAGCAATTCGACTGAGTTGTGTTATTTTTGGCGTCACCTGTGCATATGAGTTAATATTTTTATGTAAATAAAGAATTTGCGTTATGAGATTTTTTAAGTGATGATCATTCGAAACCCTGACGTCCTAAGACAAAACGAAGTCATTTCTGGATTCTGAGCACTACACAACGTAAAAATCAGTTAGCTAAAGAGAAATAGCTGACCATTTTTTTTGCAGACTTGTGTTATTTATTGCGTTTTCGCATTTCTTGAAATGGTAAGCATTTGTGCACCGTGGTCAATGTATCGTAAATATTTCGTTGCAGTTTCATATCTAGCAGATGTTTTGTTAATTATTTTTTGATCGATTTCTTTCTGTTTGATATACGGGTAGTCCGTGTGGTTACACTGATTTTAGTATCAAAGGTGAGGGACGTGATTAAATTGAAAAGGTACAAATCATTCTGAAGGTAAAAATAATTGGCTTTAACAAATCGAAGTTTAAACCATAGATGATACTGGACCTCGTAGTTTAAACTACAAATGCTCCTACATCCTTTAAATCATAGAATATCCCGTGCAAGTTTGACCGGCAAACACTAAAAACATCAGTGTTACATGCAAGCTTATTATAAGTGCAAGTGCATGTAAATATTGTAAATGTGTATCGTCTAATGAAAATAGTAGTTTGTAACGTTAGAGTGAGATTAGGATTAATACCTAGGTTAGCGCCCCCGCTCACAAAACTATAGATCCAATACAAAATAAATCTCATATCTGGGTCGGAGGAGTCTTGTTTACTAAATATTACTGTGGAGTGATTAAAGGATTTTTTGCTTTGAACTTGGAAGCGGAATTAGTGATACTTCAAAGCCCTTAAACTCCGCCAATTATTGATGTAGGGCAGTGTTGTATACCTCTGCATAGAGGACAAGAAACCCAAATTATTGTGCCAATAATCTCATTTCGTCAAAAATGGACTTATTCCTACACGATACTTGGGTGTCCAGGATGCGCCGCACCACAGTCGGTGGAGCTGCCATTTAAACCATAAACGTTTGACCGTCCACTCCACTCCAATGCAAAGTCGGTAGAGCTGACGTGGCTGGGCTGATGCCGGACAGCCAAGGATCAAGTGAAGCCTCCGAAAATGCGACGCACCTTGAAGACGTCGTCGAGCAGGCGGCGCGTGTCGGCCTCGAGCCCCGCGGCCCGCCGCTCCTCCCACTCGATGGTCTCCTTCTTCTCCTGCAGCGCCGTGCGCAGCTTCTCCGTGTCCTGCTGCACCATGCGGCGCGCGTCCTGCAGCGTGTGGAAGAGCTCGTCGAGCGGCTTGCGCACCTGCTCCGCGTGCAGCATCATGTCCATGTTGAGGTGCGTGATGCTGTCGAACACGTCCAGCAGGTCCTTGGGCGTCTTGAAGAAGAGCTCAGGCGCCGGCTGGTGGTCCACGTCGTCGTGGAACATCTTGATGAGCTCCGTCAGCGACAGGTCGCTGCGCACCTTCTTCACCTCCATCGCCTCGTCCACGTCCTCCAGGCTAGCGGACGAGCCGCCGTCCTTGACGCGCTTCATGAACTCCACGTCGTGCATGAGGCGCCAGCCGCGCGGGCTCGCCGCGTACAGGAACCGCTGCAGGTTCTTCACCGCCCTCCACTTGTCCTCCAGGATCACCACCTCGTTCCTCAGCCTGCCCAAGGACCGGTTCAGGCTCTTCAGGTCCCCCTCCATGTGCGACGAACGCAGCGTCATGGTGTCCGCTTGCTTGAGGATTTCCATTGATTTTTGGTGGTCCTCGGCCAGGAACGCCTCGAACGCTTTGACGTGTTTCTGATGCTGGTCTTTGATTTTCTGGATGACTTTGAGCTCTTGCGTGTACTGCTCCTCCACCAGCATGCAGTGGTCCTCTGCGTAGCCGATCATGAGCTTGGTGTAGAGCACCTCGCGAATGTCGGAGAGGTACTTTCGGATGTCGAGTCGGCCTAGGGTGGCGGCGTTCTCGGGGCGCCCCTCCACGATGCTGAAGTAGTCCGGGTCGATGTCCAGGATGCCGGGCGTCATCGTGGCCGGGTCGTCGCGGTCGCGCGGGATGTGCAGGCGGCGCAGCAGGTCCAGGTTGTGGCGGGTGCTGTAGTTGTAGTGCTCGTAGTACGGGGCCTTCATCTCCTTCTCCTGGGCCTCGCGGCGCCATTGGTCGGTCACCGTCTGCAGTCAACATGGATTAGCGTTAAATCTCCCATTTACATAACTATGCATATTCCTTGACTTTTCCAACGCCACCCTTCACCCAAACATGTTCATACTTTATAAAATATAATTTTCAATTGACCAACTAAATAAACATTTGAAGAATAAACTGTAAAGGCGTTATTCACCATTTTAAGAACATTTACTATTTTTTTATTCCACACTGCGCAGAAAATATCAGTTTTATGAAGAAATGCGCATTCTGAAGGTACAGTACAGTGTCAATAATTCGGACGTCAAAAAACCAGATCGCTAGTAATCCGGATATTATTTAGAGAAAAAATTGCATGAAATTAATACTGCGAAGATGTACGCACTATTTCACTACAAATGCAGTCTTTTATAATAAGAAAATACAAAAAAATATACGTACAATAATAACGTACGAAATAAACCAATAGATACTTATGATACGGTGAATTTTTCCTGAATAAGAAACGTAATATTTTTCTACATTAATGATTTTATTCTCTTCTTCACTTCACTTCTATTCACTTCTGTGACCATAAGAGTGAATTATCATAGATTTTAACAGGTCTGTTCTTTAAGTTGAAGACGACTAACGAAACATTTTATTGGTTACTTTCAAATTTTGGGACAATCTGATAGTGTGAAAGGTGATTAGGTTCAAATTAATTCGGATAATTCACGTTCTAATGTAATAATAAATGTAACAAATGGAAGTTGATAATTAAAACGAGGGACTTAAAAAAGCAGTACCTCGTCGCCTTTACCGCCTACTTTTACACCCTGATAGCACCACGGTATAATTTCTTCCGTGCATTACCAAGTCACAGGGGTTCCAGAATGCACAGCTGAAATTTTGATTCAATTAAACTGTTAGACAATGTTTATGAATTAGTAAAGTGAAATCTGATATTAATATTCTACAGGTTTACTCATTTAAATAAAAAATGTTTATTTTTTAGTTTTACAATTAAAAAAATAACTTTTCGCAACCAAAATTTACATTTTAAATTTTAAAAAATGTTCACAAAATGTATGCCCAAAAATGTGAATATTTCTAAATTAATAACATACAGTAAAATAGATTCTTTGTAATACATTTTTATCAAACGTGCACAAAAGTGTCAATTGTCAGTTTCTCTTGTTTATGTGTATATCAATTCCCTGAAGGGATCAAATTTGTTTTGACGAAAAAAATAAACAAGAAAACATTTGACCATTAGTTTCAAATGCTGAATTTTTTTAGACTCCCTTTCATCCCTAGTTTACATTAAAATTATTGACCAAACCTATTTCATTTTTTGGAAAAAGGGTCATGTACTTTGATAGCATAGCAATGATTTTATATTGCATTGTAGTAAGTTTTTAAGTTAAAAAAACAACTATAAAACAAAATTTACTCTGATTTTATGTCTTCGAGTGAAGAGTTCCAAATTCTTTCACCTACAGTCGAAGGGATAAAAACTCTAATTACAATACACTTGGGGGAAAATGAACAAGTGAAATTCTTTTTCGCTTGCTTGCGATTGCGCGGGGACGGTACCCGGTAGCAGAGCTCCTCGGAGGGCCTGGGCATCCAGTAGGGCGAGGCCTCTGCGTTGACGTCGCGGCCGTGGGCGTCGGGCACGTGGCCCTCGGTGAAGTAGCAGGGGCGGCCGCGCAGGGGCCGGCCGCCGCGCGCCGCCAGCCGCGCGCTCAGCAGCTCCGTGCGGCGCCGGCGCACGTTGAAGCTCAGCCGCCGCCGCTGCTGCCGCCCGTACTCCTGCGCACCCCCACGCTCGCGCTTCGCATTTCATGTTCCCATTTTTCCATTTTGATTCAATTCTGTTTTTATTAAAACCATAATAATGTTTGGCAATACATTCAATATGTATATGAAATTTTATATCTAATTTAGATATACTGATGTAGTTTTTTGAAGCACTGAAGATGGCCGTAATGTGACCGAAAAAGCTTTCTGCCTAAATAAACACGACAAAATAAAGCCTCAAATCTATTCCTATAATTTCTAGGTTACATCTCTACCCGCTCTTTAAAAGCAATAAGTCACTGTAGGAAAAAATATAAAATACCTTTTTTTTTAAAGCTGCACCTCTAGCAGCCACTAACTACTTTAACACGTCGTCTGATTGAAAGTCGGTTGATTGATTATTTTCTGTTTCCAGGCGCTTCAATTGCTTAGATCATTAGTTCCGTAAGTGCAGTGAATGTTTTTTTCGCGAGGCTGTGAGATCCGATCTACACCTTCGACACCGCGGTTTCCCTAAGCAGGTATCTCCCACCATCAGGGTACCAGCCCAGCCGGGACAAGCTGTGAGCTCCCGACTGTCCCCCCGGCATGTGCAGTAGTGTAGTGAATGTATGTGTATATTAGAAATGAGATTAAAAGGAAAAAGAAATATCGCTCGCTTTTCATGGACAATTTCTTAGGATTTTGCTCATTCACTTGATGTTCGTTGAAGAATCCACGGAAAACTGCCACCGACAGGACTAGAACTCTAGAACCTTCCGACAAGAGGCAGAGAGTGACATCAGTTGATGCTCTGAGCCGCCTAAAGTGGTAGAGGGAAAATTAATTTAACGAAGTGGGTCGAACGTGTCATATTTCCCCTAAATGATGGATGGGCAACTCATTACGCACTCGTGTTCGACGGGTCACGTTCCCACGTAGTTAAGGAGACTGTCTTCCCGCCGTACCCGTGGAATTTCGTTATAAGAATTTTTTTTAGTAGCGCTTTTATCCAGCCTCCTTTACTACCTTTTGGTATGCATATTCCACCACACATCAACACACTTGCGGGCTCTTGTGATGTAGGGTCAACAGAACGCGACAAGTACATGCTAGACATCAAATGCTCAAGGCGGGACTCGAACTCTCGATCCCTCAGCCCGAAGAGCTGAGTAGGAACACGTTCTTAGCCTACTCGACCATCCAGGCCGTGCGCTATGAGAAATGCTTTCCACAAATCATGGGCAAAAAAAAGATCGCCCTCCCCGCCCCTCCCGCATGCCCTTAGCGGCGTCTCGGCCTTAAATTGCAGTTAGGCGAAAATGTTCAAAAAGTTTGCCTGATTTTCCCCGTGAGCAATACGTACTGGGTTGCGAACATTCCAAAGCACCGAAGAGCATTTAATCACTCAATTGACAATATTATCATGATTATTCACATCATTATTATGACATATTTTAAATAAAATTTTCTGTATTTATGAAAGCATTTTTTTCTGCGAAGATACTTTGGACCAGAATATAATGAAACATACTGCAAGGCATCAAAGAACCAAAAGTGAAAAATTAACATTAAAGGTATTGTCAGAATAAATATAACGTAACGTAACAATTCAATATACGTGTCAACCGTATTATAAGTCAAACTAATTTTTTGAAGGAAACTGACATGATGTCCGGCTCTTCTGGAGCAGAACAACTCTGCGAATACAAATAACGCAAACTTCAGCATTTGACTAACACAGTGTACACCTGTAATTTCGTTGTCGTACATCGCAATTGGGAGTGAATGTTTCAAAAGGAATTAAAGCACCCAGCCATTTCATATAATAAACGTTTCGATCCCGTACTTGAGCACCGTGTTGTTAAATAATTGAACTCAAACACCTTCGCAGGTACGCAGTAAAACACGACGGGCTGCGCTCGGTTTCGACCTGAACGAATTCGACACTTGCTATAATCTTTGTGCTCGTTGTTGATTTCTCGGGTGACTTCTCGAGTGAACTCTCTCTTAAATCTATTTGCTGTTTGTGTCTCTCCTGTCGTATTCTCTCATAATGTAACAGTTGGTTTGCCAAAACGTTCCCGGTGTATAATCAGTTAATTGATGGTTTCATCAAAGAAAAACTGCAAATAAATTATGCGATCGCGACTTTCCCTAGTATACCGTATGGGGACCTTTTCGCGACTGTCTATATTCAAAACGAATTGTTGAACACACTCCCCGTATGCGAATATTTCCTATTAGAAGTTTCGTTTAAAATTCGAAGTCTATTTAGCTTTTACTTAATATTCACAACAAATACTATGACATCTTTAAACTATTAATATGTACAACATTTAAGAATATCGGAACTTAGTATGTGTACCCAATTCCCTCTAATTGAAAAATACTGATCCCCGATCTTAAGCAAGATTGGTCGTACCGTCTAGGCGTGAAAGCGTGAATATTACAAGATTACACCTTGCGCCTCCTCCGTGCATCCTTCATATATACAAGGGGCCCTGCTTCCCTTCAACATGTGAAAGTGTCACGTCTGCGATCATATAACATATTGTCTAGTGTATCGGTCGCCCTGAGAACGCGTATTCTTTAACTATTCTCATTCTATATACATTAATTTACGAGTTATTTCCATGCCATTTTATATTCAAATAAACTAGAGGTTTCTGGCTTATCACACTCGGTATAGTTTTCGTGCACATTGGGCGTGCGGGATACTTGTAGTCCAGACTGTACGATTTCTGCACGAAAACTTGAGAGCATGTTGAAGTTTTTTGATACAGAAAAGTACAATTTCACTTTAGCGCTTGCAGCCGCAGAATCGTTCATTAGCGGATTTGCGTACGGCGAAAACCATGCATCCTTTTCAATTTTGTAGTTTGGTTAGGTGCAATTCGTGAGATGTTTGAGTATTGGCGTCCCGAATTCGCTTTCTCGAGTATTCTGGTAAGCTCATTTTCATTTCAGTCTCTTACAAATGTGAGGATACTGAATCTGACTTTTGCAGCCAAAACTTCCTCCATTCGGAGGGTTTTTTGGATTCACTCGATAAAGCCTTTGCAGATACAACCGTGCTTGTAGCGACAACGATGAACACATTTCTTTTCTATTTCTCGCCATGACTTTCCCCATTCTTGAAGTATTAATAAAGTATCTGAGAACGCACGTACACAAATGTCGCGCATATGGTGTACGCGAACGGCACAATTCGACAATCATTTGTGTACCGGCAGGGTTCCTGGCGGTGTCTCTTGCTAACTCTTATACAAAACGTACCCACCGAGTAAACACCACTTAAGCTTTTATAGTTCTAATTTAGTCTCTTGAATTTTCTGTATGAGAATTTGCACAAAAATTGTACCGTGGAAAATGTTTTAAGATTAAGATATTTATTGTGAGACTCCCTGACCGGCTGAGGTGGCTCAGGGCATTAACTGATGTCACTATAGTGCCACTGGCTCCGTGTTCGAGTCTCGACGGTGGCAAGATTTTGGATACGAAGTAAACAGCTACACTTACAAGCACTGCACTACCACACATACCAGTAAGCCATTCGGGAGCTTAGAGCTTGCCCCGACTGGGGCGGTGCCCCGCAGGAGGGAGATACCTTGTTGAGGGAAATCCCCGCAAGTCGCCGGATCTCGCCAGCCAGCGGGAGATCACCGTCACTTCCAGCAATGAAAACATGCACTAGACTTACGGGACTACTGTCTTGACATGAAATAACAAATCATCAATATTGGTAAAAGCGCCCGAAATCAGTAATAAACCAATAAATGCATCCGAGACATATTGAATTGACTACCTCTCGCTAGACCCGCCCAGTGCGTCGGCAGGGAGAGTGGCAGTACCTTGTGGATGTCAGCGACGATCATGTCCCGCTCGGTGCGCCGGAACAGGTCCCTGGCCAGGGCGCTGCCCGCCGAGTCGGAGGAGAGCCAGGAGGGCGTCTCGGCGGGCACGCTCAGCCCCGCGTCGCCCTCGCCGCCCTCGCCGTCCAGTTCCGCGCGGGCGGGCGCCTCCGGAGCGTCGTCCACCCAGCGCGCGCCCCACCCCACCAGCCCCGCGCCCGTCGCGCGCACACTGCTGCCACGCGCGCCATCCTCCGCCGACGACCGCCTGCGCCACCGCACACACACACACTCGAACTCCCTCTCTCATCGAGCCGTGCAATGGACAGATTGGGCACTTTGGGCCGCCTCGAATGGCAAGGCACTAGCCATCTTCTGCGCATGCCCAATTCAGACTCTCATTACTTCAGTGCATCTGCGCATGCGCAGAAGATCGACAGTGCTTGAACATTCCAGGTGCAACAAACTCTCTATTTTTTCACTGATACGTTATTGTCTTCGATTTGGAGCTCGATATGCACTGCGTAACTTACCTGGATCGAGAGGATCGTGATTGAAAACAGTTGAATTATGCTACATGTTTTCTTAAGGAGATGTTCTCTTATGAAGAAAAGTCAAACCGAGTCTTAATATCTAGTTCATTAGTAAGAAAGCACATCTTCAAAAAATTATTATTTTTTAATCAAATTAGAAATTGTTTCATTGTTTATGGATATTTTCCCGAGTGCCTGGATATCTAGCAATTCCATAGTCGCTTCTCAAATGGCTGGAGGTTATACAGTTTTTTCTACGCGAATTCTATATTAGCAATATCGATGTTTTGTATTTTTCCAAGTTCTGGTGTATCAAATAAAACTAAAGAAAACTCTCCAATGGTCGTAGTCTGCATAGTTTTATTTCAATTTTCGCGTGCATTGGAAAAGTAAGATAGACGATACGCCTCCTATTACGACTAATAATAGCATATGCATATTGATATAGAATGATTAACACTAGTCTAAAAAATCCAAAAGTCTGGGAAAGTAGTCAGCAACAATATGGATGCATGAGCTTAAAAAGAATTTGCAAAGGAATATTAAAAAAAAATATTAAGGAATGTGATAAATTAAGAAATACACTACAAATATTGAGGGGTACGAGAATAAAAGCGTCTTTATGAGGTGCAAGGAGATAAAAATAAACATAGTGAGAGGATGTAGTAGTACTCTAAATACATAAACTGTGTTAATTCAGGAAAGGAGATGAAAGGAAAACATTAAAAGGTAAAGAAATGAAATTGTCCGGTGATCCAGAGGTGACCTTTCAGCTAGCAATTCCAAGATAGAAATGTCCCTGTATATTGTCGAGGGAGAAGGAGAAGGGTTTCGTAGCCACTGCTTAAATATTTTTGCTTTATTAATGTTTTTACAATTATCATAAGAGATTTTCTTTACTTTTAGACATTCAAAACCAATTATCAACTAAAAGGAAAAATTGAGATAAACTAATCACATTACACACACATACGTTTAGTGAACTAAATGATCACATCCTTTTGTGGAACATGTATATCTGCAACAATTATTCTTTTAGAAACGTCAACATACAAATTGTGCAATAACTAGAAGTTAAATAAAAACATTTAAAAAGATCTTCAGGTCAGTCAAAAGTCCATTTTACTGCCAGTTATCTCGTACTGAGTAAATGGGATCCATTCTTTCTAACATAGAAATGCAATAAACTATATTATACGCAAACTTTATAAACCATAAATATTTCAAAAATTTATTCGGACTATTTAATTGAGAGAACCAGTTCGTCTTCTAGTTTGGTCACAAACAGTCGCTTCAAGAACTCAAATTATAAGTAACACTTTAGAAAAGTGCATTATATTTTGATGAAAAATTACTTCATAAGTAACATCAAAGATTTTGAGCTTAAAAAGCGTCATCCGTGAGTCTCGTAGCGCTCCACCCAGGGTTAAGGAGAGGAGGAGAAAGAGGAGGAGAAATATAAAAAAAGGATAACAATCGTGACTGTGGAATATGGTCAAGGTGACCGAGACTTCGGTATTTTTGGGGAAAAAAGTGTTAGGCAAGAACAATTCGAATTCGTAAAGCAGTTAATCTTCATCTTCCACTAGATAACACGAATGAAAATGAAAAGAGGACTTGCTAACAGAATCATAAATATATTGAAGTTTCGAAAATATGACGTCAAAATATGACATTCTCTTTTAAAATGTATATTTACATTTTCCAAATATGTAATGATAAAGCTAAAATACAAGACAATATGTAAGAATATTTTGATATAAAATTGAGTGAAACCATACAATAGAAGCAAAAGATAAAAATATAACTGATTAAAAGAGAATAAAACAAAATACTTGCATTTAGACAATTTTGGGTGCAAGATGTTAAGGTGAAAGTTTTTGGCGGTTACTAGAAGGCGAAGTCAGAGGGAAGGAGCAAAATAAAAAATGTTTCTCCGGTTACGCAATTAAGACACTAACAAGGAAATTCTTCTAATAATCGAAATCACGAATCAGGTTTCTGTAATTGTTTTTTACGAAACATTTCCAAGAAACATGTTATAAGTAATGTTAAAGCTTGCCCAACGTATTCATAAAAATAAGCCTAATAATTCCCATCAATTTGCACACAAGCATTCCGACGAATATGAATTACCAACAAATAAATAGCAATTAATCTTTCAAGTACAAATCCAGGTTAACTGTTTTGGTTGTACAAATTTAGTTATTTCAGTGGATTATGCAACATTACAGAATTACACATAGAAATTTCGATGAGGACGAAATGATGGAAGTCGTCTTTCTCCCGTATTAGCATGGACTAAGCGAGCCGGCTTTCGACGGCTTTGCCGCCATCACCAGTCTAGCTATAAGGGGAGAAGATCGGGAGCACTCCCTCGCGACTGTTTGGAAAGAAGTTTCAGCTTTCTACTCAATCTAATTTCCTGAATTTTGTTCAAATGAGTGGTACAGGATGCGATATGCGTTATAACTTGCTATTATTAAACGTTTGAGGAGTAAAAACACTTAATTTTTGGGTTTTGAATTGCGAATTTGTTGATGTTTTACATTGAAATTAGTTAATATTTCGCTCCTAATGCACTACGATTGGTGATGTGTTTTACAAGTGACGAGAGAGGTGTGTTAATACGAACAGAATTTGCGGTATTATAATTTTACGCAACACTTAGTGCTGCGAGAAAGTATGTGCTGTTAAGCGTCAGATGTTTTATGAATTTCATTAACTTCAAGCAGGAATTATGCAAAAAAGCTCGTTTTTACAAAAAAATTGTAAATTATCTTTTCCAACTATCATATTTTTTAGAACATATTTAATTTCCGACAAAATATCTGAATCTTCAATATTGTACTTTGCAATATTCACTTATTGAAATTTTCGAAAATATATCTTTCGCCAAAAATGGGACCAGCACTATTTTTGATACAGTCCTTTGATACATAGGAGGTAAAAATTTAAACAAATAATTTGAAGCCATTAAAAAAAAAAGGGTTTGAAAAATGCGAAATCAATTTAAGCAAGATTCTGCAAACACGACAAATATCTTCGAGAGATTCAATGAGACCTTTTTTCAAGAACTTTCTTTCAACAACTTATTTAATTCAGAAATAAAAATTTATCTTGAATATCTTGTAGTTGAAGGAAGACGCTGAAAAAACCCTTGCAATTAAAAAAAAATCGGAGAATTTGACGAAAATAAGAACAGTTTATTTTTAAATTTCTTAATGCTCTCCGAGGACAAAATTTGATTAAAAAATTGAAAGTATTTTTATGATAGTTTCGAAAATGTCGCTGAGACTTGATGTGAAGTACATGGAAATTTAAAATATGTTTCGAACGACTTCGTTGAGATCGATTGGTAAATAGCAATTTTGGAGAAAATTGTCTGAACTGCTCCCGTCCCTCCGCCTTCACTTCTCGTCCCTGTGACGCCCCCGCCCGCCACGGAGCTTCCTTCCTTTTCCTACCAAGCGACACAACGGCGCTCGCTGGCTTGTCTGCCTGGGCTTCCGTCTCGATTTTGCGCTTCCTCCTCCTCCCGGCCCTCGCGGCCGACAGCCCGCGACAAAGCGCCCGCTGCAGCCACGCGGACGCGCCATCCATCGCAGCTACGTTTCTCAAGGGCTCCTCGCCACCCCGCCCCGTCCGCGGCGGTGCTTCGATGGCGGAGAACCGAGGGAAGACGAGGAAATATTGACTACCGGCATCAACGGAAATCTTGCGGAATAAAACCGGACAAAGAATGGTCTACAAAATGTAACACGCACACCGCTCAACAAAAAAATAACACTGAAATAAACGAAATATTTTAACAGAAACTGTCTTCAGGAATACGTCAATTACACAGTATATACCTATAACAACAGTGTTTTCGACAACAAATTTGAAGGAGGATGATCTTGCATATCGCAACAAAAACGTCGGACATTTAGAATAAATAAACAATAATTTTAAACTCTTTGCAATATGCGATTCTTAGTCTTTTAATTATTATTTTCAAGAAAATTAACATTAAATCACTGAAGGTTACCCAAAAAATTAACACAATGACAAAGTTCGGAAATTTGACATATTTACTTTTTGTCTGTTTTCTTTTTTATCTACAATATCTTCAGTACCTTACATGTTATCGTGGTCTATGTATATTGTGCTGCGTGCTTGAAACTCAAACTCGAACAAAAGGAATTGCAGAGAGAGCGTCGATGCTCACTCTGAGCGCACTCTGCCCTTTGGCCTCAGCGCGCGCGAACCGCCGAGGCCCTGGGGCCCTTCACAGGGCGTCTCTCGGCAGCGCTTCGCCCGCGGGAGTGGCCGGACGCGCGGACAAAATACCAAAGGTGGAAGTTTAGATTTTGAGGTCACTGACTTGTTTATAATTTGTCGGTCTTATTTTTTCTCTACACTATCTTCATTCCGCTACATCTTTTTAACGTGCTCAGATACCATTATTCTTAACAGCTTTTCTTCAATAACTGTTATCGGAATACCAATGCTCTTCTACCAACCACATTGTTCGGAAGCTCGCTGCTGTGTCTACGTGTGAAGGAGCCCTAAGAATTAAATCAGTTGCAGGTAGCACATTGAAGTTGGTGCAGGTACCTTACGACACTTCCTTCCACTTCTTCCTCTAACAGGCTTCGTCAGAGAAACAGCCGATATGAAGGTCTCTGGATGAACTGCCAAGGAAGAATAATTCATTTAA